GCGTTGTATTATGATAAATTTGCAGAATAGTTTGTTCAACAGGGTACACGACTTTTTATTTGGAATATTATGAATTCGCATAGTATTTTTACTGTTTTCTATTAGAAGCTGAAGCATAAAACAAATGGTTGTTTTTCCTTTTTAAATACGAAAGGGCGTCTTTCGGTTAGAGAAAAAGTAGATGTGAAACAATAATTAATTGAATCTGCCAGCCTAACGTAATCGGTAGATAAAAGAATTCGTTTGGTAATATTTTAATATTACGTAATAAGTTCACATTTTCCAATTGTAAAAATAGTAGTATATTTGAAGAAGTACAATAAAAGAAGGGTTAATTAGCTTAATATTAGTTTTGGAGTAAGTATTTCGGTAACTATCATGTGCATAATAAAATTTAGGTATTTAGGAGAGAGAAGAAAAATTTGGACAAATTTGCCGTACAAAATTGTTTAGGGAAAGTAGTAAAAAATTATGATATGACAATCATTTTTTTAGCGAAAATAATAAAAATTCCTTAAAAAAATCTCTAACAATCTTCTCTTGAATTAATCACTCGAAAAACTGCTCATGCGATTGTATTTATGCAAAAAGTAGATGTGTGTTCTGCATCAAAATAAAAAAAAATCAAAAGATAACAAAATTAAACAAAAGACAAATATGTTTTAATAGTTAGCTATTTAATAACATAGTTAACTACGCATACTATTTGAAATTAAAAAAATATAGTTAACTATTTTCAGAGTATATTTATCTATTCTATTATTTTCAATACATAGTTGATTACAATAAAATATTTTTGACATAGTCAGTTATTTAAATAAATATAGTTAACTATTTTTATAGTATAGTTATATACTCTATTGATTTCATGACATAGTTGACTACTGTTGTAATATTTACTTATTTAAGCAAATATAGTTAACGACATTCAGAACGTAGTTAACTATTATAATTTGCATAATGAAAAAATTAAGATCGACATAGTTAACTATTATCGAAAACATAGTTACCTATTATACTGGTTTTCAAACATAGTTCACTATTATCAGAAACATAGTTACCTATCTGAACATAGTTAACTGTGTAGTTCTCCATTGATATGCCGATCTCCATTGATGGTGGCAATGAGTTAAGAACAAAGTATATCCATGACAACAAATTAAGATTATATAATTGCGAAATTGAATTTAAAGAAGAAGTAGACGATCTTCAATT